CACCCCAGAGTCAGACATGACTGGACTTAATGTCAGGGGACTACTTTTACCTTTACCTATATCATATTGGAGGAAGACTGAATTAATGAACATCTGATGTTGCTGTGATGTTATTGGCCACATAACACATAACATGCAACTACTAGAATGATTCCATTAGCGTTGCCTCCTCATCTCCACAAAAGTCAACATTGACACTGAAATACAACACCACCTGAGCTCTGCGAGTGCACCATTTTCCTAATGAAGCACAGAGTGTTTGAGGATCGGGACATCCGTAGGGATACCAAGGTGCTTGTTTATAAAGCTATTGTCCTCCCAACCCTGCTATATGCCTGCGAGACATGGACTGTCTACAGAGTCACATGCAACTCCTGGAATGATTCCATCAGCGCTGCCTCCGGAAAATCCTGCAAATCTCTTGGGTAGACAAGCGGACAAATGTCAGCATGCTGGAAGAAGCAAAGACCACCAGAACTGAAGCGATGCTCCTCCGCCATCAACTCCACTGGACCGGCGACGTTGTCTGGATGCCCGACCACCGTCTCCCAAAGCAGTTGCTCTACTCCGAATTCAAGAATGGAAAATGGAATGTTGGAGGACAGGAAAAGAGATTTAAAGATGGGCTCAAAGCCAACCTTAAAAACTTAGGCATAGACACAGAGAATTGGGAAGCCCTGGCCCTTGAGCGCTCCAGTTGGAGATCAGCTGTGACCAGCAGTGCTGTAGAATTTGAAGAGGCATGAATGGAGGGCAAAAGAGAGATATGTGCCAAGATGAAGGCATGTCAAGCCAACCCTGACCGGGACTGCCTTCCACCTGGAAACCAAGCCCCTCACTGTGGGAGAACATGCAGATCAAGAATAGGGCTCCACAGTCACCTACGGACCCACTTCCAGTACACTTATCTTGGAAGACTATCCTACTCGCACAATAAAGGATCACATAAGCAAGTAAATTTCTGTTAAACTGAATATTATTGTATAGATACCTACAACATGATACATTTGCTAACATTGCATCTTATTCTCTTGTAGGTCTAAAGCACAAGCAGCTTTTCATTCCCTGAGATCTATGTTACTTTCTAATGCAGAACTGAGTATTACCACTGGCTGGCTGCTCAGAAACTTCCCTTTCTGAACACATGTGCTTTTCCTTCCACTCAACACCAGAGGCCGCATTCGAGCTGCATAATTGAAGCCATTGAAATCCACAAGCATGTGGACAATTTCAACAGAAAGGAGGAAACCATGAAAATGAACAAAATCTGGCTACCAGTATTAAAAAACTCTAAAATTGCAACAGCACAACAACAGAGAGGAAGCAGGCAGGGACATCTAATTACCTCTCAACAAAAGTTTGCTCCACACCAAACAACAGCCAGGCCATCAAATGCTAATCAAGGTGGTCAGTTGAAACATTCACACCTAGCTCCAGCAGACAAGAGTCCTTTGCCTCACCCTGGTCATTCCACAGATATATAAACCCCTTTTCCTATTTCCAACAGACCTAACTACCTCTGAGGATGCTTGCCATAGATGCAGGCGAAACGTCAGAAAAAGGATGCCTCTAGACCATGGCCATACAGCCCGAAAAATCCTACAACAACCCTGCATAATTATTTCTTGTCCATTTTTTGTTGTATAACCTTATCATGGAAAGCAGGCACGTGGCCTGTAATAAAACCTAGCTGGGAAATATACGAGGGGTATTTTTTAAGTAAGGTCCGTTGGAACATAAGTACACGATGAAAGTTTATTTCAAAAAAGTAAATTTATTTTCAGAAAGTACATGCTTCACTCTATTTTTCGACATAGTTGCCAAGTTTGTTCAAACACTTATCATATCTCTGAACCACTTTTAAAATACCCTCTTCATAAAAACTTGCCGCCTGCTCCGATAACCAAGAGTTCACTGCTGTCTGTAATCAAAGAAGGAGCAGTCTTCATCATGGACATTGTCATGGCCATCTTTGAATTGTCGTACCCACTTACGCACTTTGCTTTCACTCATAACAGTATCACTGTACACTTCACAAATCTGTCAATGAATTTCTGCAGCAGGCAGGTTCCTTGCTGACAAAAACCGTATCACTGAGCGAACCTCACACGCGGCGGGTGAGTTGATAGTCTTATGTGTTGTACACCGCCGTGAGTCGCCCTAGAGCTGAGAACGGCGGTCGACAAATGCAGTAAATAAAAAATAAATAAATAATAAATAAACATTTTTAAAGCACAGAACAGAACTGTACAGGTTAGCTACAGAGCGGAAACTGAGCACAGTTGTTCCCGAGGCATGCCGGTACATGACGCACGCGCTCGTTGCGGTATGCGCGCAAACTCCTAGTGTCTACAACAAAACGGACCTGTAAGGAAGCGTAATCCCACCTAAATGGGATTACCAAAATTAAGTAAATATGTATGTTGATCCACCTAATTTCAGCATAAATTATAAGGAAGTCCCAATACTGCTTGATTACACTGCCACCATTATATATATAAAGAGATGTTGGAATTGAAGTCTCTGTTCATCCCTATCTGCGTTGTGAGGAAACTTTGGTAGAGTGGATTGCACCAAATGTAAAATCAATGGAGGAGGCAGATTTATAACACAGAGAGAACAAGTTTATTGTTAACAGAGCGTAATTGTTGCAATACTAAGATGTTGAACTTGGCACAAGCTTGATGGTTACAATATGGCTTGGTAGAGATACATTCAGGCTTCTGATGTTACCATCCTTTAAACTCCTTCTTCAGTGAAGTACTTTATTATTTCAGTGTTCCCTGTTGTGAATATTCACTCTGTTTGTCCTATACCGGATCAAACCACCGATCTCCAGTCTTTCACTACTGGGATCCCTAAAACCCCCTTTTTTAGATTCTTTTTAACACAAGCAATCTAACAAGGTTTCACCTTCAGCTCCCTTGCTGAAGAAATATTCACAAATGCTAAGAACTAACTGAATTTATACTGCTTCACCACACAGAGCCCTAACTGACTCCCTCCTCTTCTCAGGGTCTCATCCTCCTGACTGACTCTTAACTGTTACTTTCAAACCTTTATCTCCTTAAGCTCCGCCCACCTTCTCTTCTGCCTTGTCACCATGGCAACCTATCTCTCACAGCTAGGCCATGGCCACGCATGTAAAACATAAATACAGTTTAAACACAGTACATTAAACCCTTTATAATAAACACTTCTCTACAGACCTTACTTTAAAAATACCCCTTGTATGTCAGATCACTGCAAAAGGGTTCTGTACAAACCTACAGAACTTCGACAGGATTGCCAGCCAAGGAGAGAGGAAAATTCCCAAGAGCCATTTGGGTTTATCCTAGTTGTCCTTCTACCCCTGCTTAGGTTTTGAGTCCCAGCACTTCATTTTATGTGTGTGTGTGTGTGTGTGGGGTGGGGGGAGAGTTGTCAGGAGATATCGTCTTTTTATCATGGTGTTAATGCCACTTCGTCTCCAAAGGATCTGGAGAACTTACATACCCCCAGCACACATATTTTTCTCCTCCCATTTCTCATCTGTTTGCTTTGCCATCACATAGGAAAATGCAAGCTCCTCCCAGTTTCTCTCCCCTTGTGTTTCTTTTAAATATGTTTTTATTGCAGACACAGGTAGAATAATATCACAATCCATCACCATTTCAGAATACATATCAAATATTATTTTCTTAGTGTTCTTATCCTTACCTATTCCACCTTTATCTCCCACTTGTATGTCTCAGTTTTACACCTCTCTATACTGGGAACAGTATTTTAGCCTTCATTCAAATATTATTTTAATTGAACAATCGTAGAAAGAGAATGGTTCAGTTCTTTATATCTTTTCTTTTCCTTTGACTTTATCTATCAATCTTCCCCATTTCAGAACCCAATTCTTCTTGATTTGGCCTGATGTATATTTGTCTCTTCTTTAGGGTACTTCCCGACAGTGCCAAAATTCACATGTTAAATAGGGGATAAAAAATTCCAGGACCTCACTACAGGTCTTGGCACAAACCCAGATGCCAACTCTATCCCTACATCTGCTTTGGGAGCAATATCATTGTGGCCAATACTTACTTAATGTATTGTCGAAGGCTTTCATGGCTGGAATCACTAGGTTCTTGTGGGTTTTTTCGGGCTATAGAGCCATGTTCTAGAGGCATTTCTCCTGACGTTTCGCCTGCATCTATGGCAAGCATCCTCAGAGGTTGAGAATTTGACCTGGAATATTGTGTCCAATTCTGGGCACCACAATTCAAGAGAGATATTGACAAGCTGGAATGTGTCCAGAGGAGGGTGACCAAAATGATCAAGGGTCTGGAGAACAAGCCCTATGAGGAGCGGCTTAAGGAGCTGGGCATGTTTAGCCTGAAGAAGAGAAGGCTGAGAGGAGATATGATAGCCATGTATAAATATGTGAGAGGAAGCCACAGGGAGGAGGGAGCAAGCTTGTTTTCTGCTTCCCTGGAGACTAGGACACAAAACAATGGCTTCAAACTACAAGAAAGGATATTCCATCTGAACATGAGGAAGAACTTCCTGACTGTGAGAGCCGTTCAGCAGTGGAACTCTCTGCCCCAGAGTGTGGTGGAGGCTCCTTCTTTGGAAGCTTTAAACAGAGGCTGGATGGCCATCTGTCAGGGGTGATTTGAATGCAATATTCCTGCTTCTTGGCAGAATGGGGTTGGACTGGATGGCCCATGAGGTCTCTTCCAACTCTTTGATTCTATGATTCTATGATTCTATGACTGTGACCTGGCCCTCTGTTTTAAAAGTTTGAGGACCCCTGCTCTAAAGTTTAATCTTATTGCTGTCCTATATTCCTAAGTACTGCCATTCGCTGTCCAAATCAAATTGCCATTTGCTGTAGATATTAGAATATCCTTCCTTCTTTGAATCCTCTTGTTTAAAAGGAAAGAAAGAATTCCCTGTTGCTCATTTCAGTAGATTCTTGACTCTCTGGATCTCTGCCCAGATTTCTTGCAGCTCCTCCCACTGAATTCCTCTGCTTTTACTTTTCCTCCACTGGGAAAAAAGGCTGCTCCAGTTTCGTCCTTGTTTATATGCCTTCGGAGATCATACAGCTCTCTTATTAATCCTCTGATTGGGAAAGGTAAGCCTTAGTTTCCTTCGAATAATGCTTCTTTTAGAGAAGCTGTGTTTGTTCTCCACTATAATTGGCCAAATCTGCAGGCTTCTCCTAACTCTCACAGCGTTAACCTTTTGGAGCAAACGAAACAGGGATTTGTAGCACTTTGGTAAGTTTAGATTGGCATAAGTTTTCACAGAGCAAAGTTTGCTTAGGGAGAGGCTTCCTGAGACCTTACTATGGCCAGGGGTCATGGCACAAAACAGATGAGGCTTCAAGTTATGATGGGATTTTGATGTGAAATTTGGAACAACATTAAAGCAAAGAAGTGTCTCTCCTTGCCGCTTCAGCAGAAAGATACTCTGCAACAGTTTGATGAAAGCTTACCTGACATCTTTATGGTTATTTCTTGATGGATTCCCAGAAATTGGGTCTAAAACGTACGTTCCCAAAACTTATCTGAGGCTGCGAGGGTGAGGGAGGGCTGGCTGTGAGCGTGAGAGGAGGCCTCTCAAAAATGGATACAGGACGAGATCATGATAGTTTGTATGTGTATGTGCGCATTTAACAAGTCTAGTGCCTGTTTCTCTTTAGTCCCTCTGGCTATTTCCCTCATACATCTTAATTCCTCCAAATAATTGTGGCGCAGCTGGCTGAGTGTCAGCTGCATTAAGATCACTCTGACCAAAAGGTCATGAGTTTGAAGCCAGCCCGGGTTGGAGTGGGTTTCCAACCAATTGTGTAGCCTGTTGTCGACCTTTGCAACCTGAAAGACAGTTGCATCTGTCAAGTAGGAAAATTAGGTACCACCTTAAAGTGTGGGGAGGCTAAATTAACTGATTTATGAGGCCATAAAGAAGACTCCAGCAAAGCATTCCAGCGGGGAAGCATGCGGGGAATGCGGAAGTGCTTCATCAGCGTCGCAGATGGACGATGAAAGCAACAGCTCCCCTGGCGGCCAGAAAAAGTTAAATAGCCTCTGTGTATGTCTGTATATGTTTGCATGTCAAAAATTGGCATTGAATGTTTGCCATATATGTGTACACTGTAATCCACCCTGAGTTCCCTGCGGGGTGAGAAGGGCGGAATATAAAAGCTGTAAATAATTTATATAATGTTCATTTGTGGTATTAACAGAACTCAAAAACCACTGGACGAATTGACACCAAATTTGGACACAAGACATCTAACAACCCAATGTATGTCCTCCACTCAAAAAATTTGATTTTGTCATTTGGGAGTTGTAGTTGCTGGGATTTATAGTTCACCTACAATCAAAGAGCATTCTGAACTCCACCAATCATGGAATTGGGCCAAACTTAGCACACAGGGCTCCCATGACCAACAGAAAAAACTGGAAGGGTTTGGTGGACATTGACCTTGAGTTAGGGAATTGTAGTTCATCCACATCCAGAGAGCACTGTGGACTCAAACAATGATAGATCTGGATCAAATTTGGCACGAATATTCCATATGCCCAAATATGAACACAGATGGAGTTTGGGGAAATAGACCTTGACATTTGGGAGTTGTAGTTACTGGGATTTATAGTTCACCTACAATCAAAGAGAATTCTGAACCCCACAAACGACAGAATTGGGGCAAATTTCCCACACTGAACCCCATCACCAACAGAAAATACTTAAGGCCATTCAGTCCAACTCTCTTCACCAGGGCAAGAAAATCTAATCAAAGCCTTCCTGACAAAGAGCCATCCAGCCATAGATATAGATAGATATATATGATTCACACACATACAGATATAATAGCATAGATTTGAAAGGGACCCCTAAAGAAGGACAATGATATATTGCATATTCCAGAGTAGGCAAACCAGACAATCTCCACATTAACACTGACAAAGAGACAACAAGAAATACTGTTTACCCACAAGCATAAAGAAATTACATAGATTAGAAACCCTTACTTTATTTTCCAGATCAACAGACTGGGCCACAGCAACGCATGGCAGGGGACGGCTAGTAATAATAATAATAATAATAATAATCTTTATTTATACCCCACCACCATCTCCCCGATGGGGACTCAGAGCGGCTTACATGGGGCCAAGTCCGAACAACATATTACATCAAAATAAAACCAAAACATAAATAACAAGCAACATCATCAAAATTACATGAAAAAAAATAATTAAAAAATTTGAATACAATAACAAAATAACAAAATATGAATTACAATGAACAAAAAACACAGTCATAGTAACAGTGGGCGGGCCACATGTACAGGATAAAATGTTGAAAACTCTAATGAGATAAAAATAGGAGCAAGTTATTTGCAGGGAGCTCAAAAAAGCACACAGGGTTGTGAAACTAACTTCCCATTTGGGGCGCGTGTACTCCAGTGACAGAAGCATTGAGGGGAGCAATAGTGTCATGTTGTGCACCTACTCGCCAAAGGCACAGTGGAAGAGACAGGATTTAAGGTTCTTTTTAAACGTTTCTAGTGTAGGGGCTTTCCTGATCTCTCCAGGTAATAAGTTCCAGAGTCGGGGGGCCACAGAAGAGAAGGCTCTCTCCCTTGTGCCCACAAGACGAGCCTGTGAGATTGGCAGGGGCGAAAGGAGGGCCTCCCCCGAAGATCGAAGGGCCCGGGTTGGTTCATGGAGAGAGATACGGTCATGAAGGTAGGCGCAGGTTCTTATCTACAAAGCCCTGAATGGTTTGGGACCCACCTACCTTCGTGACCTCATCTCTGTATACGAACTCACACGGTCTCTTCGATCATCTGGAGAGGCCCTGCTCACGCTCCCACCTGCATTGCAAGCGCGATTGGTGGGGACGAGAGAAAGGGCCTTTTCGCTGGTGGCCCCTTGACTCTGGAACTCACTTCCTAAGGACATCAGGCATGCCCCAACTTTGGCAGTCTTTAAGATGAGCTTGAAGATGTGGCTGTTCCAGTGTGCCTTTCCAGAATAATGATCCCATAGCACTTTGTCCTCCAAGGCACTTTATATTGTTTTAGGTCTGCTTGTATGTTCCCACAAACCACCCCATCACTTTTTAGCCCATGTCCAGCATTATTTTTTTTAATCTTTTAATTTTAATTACATTTGGCCCACCCATAGTTTTTAAAGTGTGTTGTCTTGTTGATAATGCTTGCTTTGTTGTTTTATTGTTTTTAAATTGCTTGTATTGTTATTGTTATTGCTTGTATTGTTGCATTTTGGGCTTGGCCTCATGTAAGCCACACCGAGTCCCTTGGGGAGATGGTAGCGGGGTATAAATAAAGTATTATTATTATTATTATTATTATTATTATTATTATTAACCATGTAATTGTGCTGGAGGATTCCCCCGTCCTCTCAATTGGACATCTGATAATTTATTTGATAGTCGTGCAGATTGCATTCATATTTCCTCATTTTGCATTTTCCCCAAAGATGGCCAGTCGTGATAATTACCTTCGGCAGGACTGGCAGATGGTGCATGGTGTTCCAATGATCTGCGCATTTTCCTTTGATTGGGACAGAATTGAGAATTTCCAGAGTCGACCTGATGATATTGTGATATCGACATTCCCCAAATCTGGTGAGTTTTCAGTGTGAGGGAAAAGGAAGTTTTCCATTTAAGGGTGCTGTCTGAAGTGACCATCTCACTTTATTTAATAGTGGGGTCGTCCCAGATTAATAACCGGGGCGACTTACAGGAAGCGGTCAACCCCCCTGTTTAAGGAGCTTCATTGGCTGCCGTTCATCTTCCGGTCCCAATTCAAGGTACAGGTTCTTACCTATAAAGCCCTAAACGGTTTGGGACCCACCTACCTTCATGACCGTATCTCCCTCCATGAACCAGCCCGAGTCCTTCGATCTTCGGGGGAGGCCTTCCTTTTGCCCCTGCCAGTTTCACAGGCTCATCTTGTGGGTGCAAGGGAGAGAGCCTTCTCCTCTGTGGCCCCCCGACTCTGAAATTAATTGCCCGGAGAGATCCCACCACACCGGGATTGTGGCGCAGCTGGCTGAGTGTCAGCTGCATTAAGATCACTCTGACCAAAAGGTCATGAGTTCGAAGCCAGCCCGGGCTGGAGTGGGTGTCCAGCCATTGTGTATCCTGTTGTCGACCTTTGCAACCCGAAAGACAGTTGCATCTGTCAAGTAGGAAAATAAGGTACCACCTTGTGTGGGAGGCTAAATTAACTAATTTATGAGGCCATAAAGAAAACTCCGGGGAATGTGGAATGTGGAAGAACTTCATCGGTGTCGCTGATGGACGATGAAAGCAGCAGCTCCCCTGGCGGCCATAAAAAAAAAGTTAAATAGCCTCTGTGTATTGTCTGTATTTGTTGTCTGTCAAACTGGCATTGAATGTTTGCCATATATGTGTATACTGTAATCGCCCTGAGTCCCCTGCGGGGTGAGAAGGGCGGAATATAAAAACTGTAAATAATAATAATAATAATAATAATAATAATAGTTACCGTAGTCTCTTTTCTAACACCAGATAGGAGCTTAATTAGAGCTTTTGGAGAGTAGCTACACTATCTTATGCTATTGCTCCTCTCAGCATTTTTGTCCTAGGAGTACACTTCCCCCTTGTACGAAGGCCTGTTCACTACCCCGCTTCTCTATGAGTTCTCCCTTGCAAATAATCTGCTCCTTTTATCTCACCCTGAGTTTTTAATCATTTTATTGTACATGCGGCCCACTCATTTTCATTATGATTGTTAATTGCATTCTTATGTTTTGTGTTATTGTTTTGTATTTTACTACGTTGTTGTTTGCGTTTTGGTTTTTATTTTATTGTATTTTATTTCATTGTAATTTGCTGTTTGGGCCTGGTCTCATGTAAGCCGCCTCTGGTTCCTGTTGGGGGAGATGGTGGCGGGGTATAAATAAAGATGATGATGATGATGATTATTATTATTAGGGATTACATCCCAGCTCTGCAATACAGCCCAAGGAATGCACCTTTGATTAAAATGCTTTAGCTATGGGCAAGCCTGTAGCCAGGATTTTTATTTGGGGGTGGGTGGGTGAGGATCTACCCTAGCAAATCTTTTGTATCATTATCCCAATACCCCCATGCATATGGGATATATTGGTGATCAGATCATGATATGAATAAACATAACAGTTTAAATAATGAACCAGAAAGGCCTTCTCGTGGACCACCCTGAGAATTCCGGGGTGGGGGGCAGAAGCCCCTCAAGCCCCCCCCCTTCCGGGCCACATGCCTGGCTATGGGTTGGATCCAGATGTCAGTCACAGCTAAAATAAGCTGATGTCGATGGGTGAGCTCTTCCCTTAAATCTTGCTACCATATTTACTGGAGTCTAATGTGTCATTAAACCTAATGCACACTACAAATTTCAAAAACCTGAAACCAAAAACTAAAACTAAAATGAAAATGTTGTAATTCGACTATTACAGTTCCTGCCTGCTTAGAACTCCTTTTTTAAAAACCAAAGTTAGAACACCAAAGCTTCCAGCAATCTAAAAGAAAACCCTGGAGTGCATCCATGCCGTAGAATGAATCCACTTCAATTGCCTTGGTTCAAAACTATTGAGTAAACGGGGCTGACGTTTTACAAGGTCTTGAGTCTTCTCTGCTAAAGAATGCTGATGTCTCACCAAATTACAAATCCCAGGATTGCGTAGCATTGAGCCATGGCCATTAAATTAGAGATGACGTCGCTCAAATAGGATCTCAAGGTGCTCCTGAAATACCTTTTGCGTTGGCTCAGCACTTGGATTATGGTATTACGCAAATCTAATGCCTACCCTAATTTTGGCAAGGTAATTTACCCCTAAAAGGTATTCAATTTGAGTCAATAGAGTATTTGATGGGATAGTTTGCATTTTGAAAAAGAAACTCTGTTGTGTTCTTGAGAAAAGGCATAAGGACAGCCTTCACTTTGTCACTTCATTCTCTGAAAACCAGAACTGCGAATTCGAACCTCCTATAGACACCTTTCACTGTGCAACTAATGTCTCCTTGTTCCGTCTTCCAGGAGCTTGGTTTGCATTGCCCCTTAGTTGCTTGAAATAGCATCCCTTTGTATTTCTCCCAGGGTTGCTACAGTCTTAGCAGCACCCTAATAGTCAAACATTAACAGAGGCTGGAAGCCAGCCTGCAAGCCTTTTGTAGCTATTGGTTTAAAAAGTATCCTTTTGGTCTAGAGACCACCCTTTTTCCTGGGGATGAGATCTCCATTTTGGAAAAGCTCTCCTGCTTTCTTTAGTATAGAAAAAGCCTCAGATGTGCTGTTGGCCAAGCTAGGCAGCTCGGACAAGCCATTGTGAGTACGGAGAAGACCTGCTCTTTCTGAAGATAGGAGAAGACCTGCTCTTTCTGAAAGATAACAGCTCAGGGTTAGGGTAAAAGATCCCAGGATTTTTCTACTGTTGGGGAAAAGTTAACTTGATAACTGAAGGAAAAAGGAAAGAAAGAACATCTATATGGTTTCCCATATTGATTGTGTTTGTAACTTCATCAAGCTGTGCCAAGTCTGTCAAGGACTTTGAAAAATAAATGTTCTGTTGATGTTCAAAGCTGGACTGGCCTCAGTTGCTGAGAATCTTGAGCTTCTAAGAAAGGCACCCGCGGTTCACCCAGGTAAAGAGAGAAGCACATCTTAGTTTAAACTTTATAATATCTGGGTGTGACGGCACACTCCTGTTTTTCTCAATTCGCAAACTTCAAGCCCTGTCCCTGAATGTCACCTACAGAAATACCCACTTAGCAATATTTTATCTTGATTTTACCATTCCTGTTTGTGTCGAATGGAACAAAACATTTTTTGCAACCTGGACTTTGTCAACAATTGTAACACCTTTTTAAAAATGTACTAACCACAATATTATCTCAAAATAGGAAATAGGGAGGGGGGGGGGAGCCAATGGGATTTTGGCCTGCATCAATAGGAGTACTTACTTAGGCGATCCCTCATTGGCCAAGTGGGATAGTCTTCCAGGATCAGTGTTCTGGTGGGTCCGTAGGTGATTGTGGAGCCTATTCTTGATCTGCATCTTCTCCCGCAGTGAGGGCATTGGTTTCCAGGTGGAAAGCGGTCTCAGTCGGGGTTGGCTTGACACGCCTTCCTCTTGGCACGCTTCTCTCTTTCATGCCTCTTCAAATTCAGCAGCACTGCTGGTCACAGCTGACCTCCTGCTGGAGCGCTCAAGTATGCCAGAGTTTTTAAGGTTGGCTTTGAGCCCATCTTTAAATCTCTTTTCCTGTCCACCAACATTCCGTTTTCCGTTCTTGAGTTCAGAGTAGAGCAACTGCTTTGGGAGATGGTGGTTGGGCATCCAGACGTTGCCGGTCCAGCGGAACTGATTGCAGAGGACCATCGCTTCAATGCTGGTGTTCTTTGCTTCTTCCAGCACACTGACATTTGTCCGCTTGTCTTCCCAAGAGATTTGCAGGATTTTTTGGAGGCAGCGCTGATGGAATCGTTATAGGAGTTGCATGTGACGTCTGTAGACTGTCCACGTCTCACAGGCGTATAGCAGGGTTGAGTGGACAATAGCTTTATAAACAAGCACTTTGGTATCCCTACGGATGCCCTAGTCCTCAAACACTCTCTGCTTCATTAGGAAAATGGTGCACTCGCAGAGCTCAGGTGGTGTTGTATTTTGGTGTCGATGTTGACTTTGGTGGAGAGGTGGCTGCCAAGGTAGCGGAAATGGTCAACATTTACTAATGTTATACCATTAAGCTGTATCTCTGGCATTAGAAAGGGATTGGTTGGTGACTGCTGGAAGAGCACTTTGGTTTTTTCGATGTTCAATGACAGGCCGAGCTTCTCGTATGCTTCTGCGAAGGTGTTTAGAGTGGCTTGTAGATCTTCTGAATGCGCACAGACGACATTGCCATCAGCATACTGGAATTCTATAACAGATGTTGTTGTAACCTTTGTTTTGGCTTTCAGTCTGCTGAAGTTAAACAGTTTGCCATCTGTCCGATAGATGATTTCCACTTCCTGTCAACAAGATGATTCTATGATTCTAAACACTTCTCAGAGAGTTAGCCACTCTGAGTCCCTGCATGAGGGAGAGAGGGCAAGATATAAAACAAAGTAAAATAAATAAATAAATAAATAAACACTTGGAGAGGAAATGGAAACATTCAGAATTAATAGCCATTCGTTTTTTCCTAAAGTAAAAAAAATGTATTATAGCATATTTTCTTTTTGAGTTGTCAAGAAAATATTTAAGACAAAGTTTCAACACATTTATCACATTCATATCACAGCCAGACTCCATAGTTTTAACGTGGGGGTTACATCAGGTTAAACCCAGTTAACCCTGCAATAACCTTCGGAAAACAGTTGTTCCTCTCTCCATTTTCCTATTTAGCTATTTTCCTGAATTCCTTTCTTTATATACATAGATTTTGGTACATTTTTTCAATTTGCTTCATTATTAGGCCATTTTCAAACTAAGATTCTGTAGAATAACTTCGGCTTCCTGATAACCTCATTTGCTATAGTTTTCTTGGAGCCCCTTCACAGTATACTGTTATAGTGCCATGATTTCAGTTTAGCAGCCATGGCAACACCCTATACATTTCTGGGATTTGTACTTTGGGATTCTGGGGTTAAATTTAGGAAGTATTTCAAATTCACAGCTAGAGAGAACGCTCATGCCTCCCTAAATTACAAACCCTAGAGTTTAGAGAACTGTTATTTTGAACTCCCACAATTTTGAGAGTGATAGTTCAAAGTGTGGCAATTCCAAATTTGATACTATCCTGCTTTCCAATTGGATCTCTGTTACTTATTTACTTATTTTAAAACAACATGCTCCCTCCTCTTTCAAAAACCATTCGTTTGTTTCATCTCCTCTGTTGCACTCCAGGATAGAAAAAACCCTTTGACTGTAAACACCACATTGTTGATTGGAAAACAACCCCTTTATTGAAGATAATTTAAAAAAACAGCAAAGTAAAAAAGCACTTTAAAGGAATAGGTAAATCCAATTAGGTAAGAAGATAAGCAGGAGCAAAAGTAGTCCAGGATAAAGTTCAGCAAAGTCCATAAAAGCAAAGTCCACACTTCTCTAATATAATTCAGGAAACATTAATCCAAGGCATGAATAGGCATTCATACAATCCAAGAATCCAAACCATGAAACAAGAAATACTTAGACAAGAATCTTCCCAGCAAGGGTTCCATGAAACAAGGACCTGAACTACCAAACGATGCTTCATCTGACGATATTTCCTATACTTGGAACTTTTATCCCCTCATGAAGTTATCCCCAGGACTCAGAAATTAGTTTTGCTTTAATTGAGATCCCCTTATCTTTTTTCTGTTTGTCTGCCTGTTTTGACTAATCTCCTGCCTCCTCTCTATTTGCTCATTAAGTTTTGCAGTTAAGCCAGGTGCCCAGTTGTTTTCAAGTCCCAAATCCTGAGAACTCTCTGGTAACAATACAGGGAGTACACCATCATCTCCACACCCTTCATGCACATTCTCATGGGAAACTACACTTTGCACAGGGTCCTGCTCTGCATCAGTATCATTGACCAAACCATTGCCATCTTGAAATTCATTGGCATCACTTCCCACATCCAAAGCACCCTGATCCTGAAACACAATCAAAGGCTGAACTCCAACACCCTCCCTCCCTTTTCCTTCCCTCGAACACTCTCACAGCTCCACAAAACCTTTCCTTCTTTATTTAAATCATTCCAGAAGTCACAAGTCTAAGCACTGCTTCTAGTTCCAGGAGCCCTACCATACAGCCATATAAAGCACAATTTCAAGGCAGGTAATCCACAATATCTGCTTTGAACTGGATATCTGAGTCTACCCTGCCATATAATCCAGTTCAATGTGGATTTTATACGGCTATGTGGAAGGGGCTTAGGTGAACATCTGGGAAATCTAAGAAACTTTTAAAATGTCCTTTCCTTTGCTCCTTTCTTTGCAGGTACAACATGGATGAGTGAAATTGTGGACATGATTTTGCACAGTGATGACCTTGAGAAACGCAAGCAAGACGCCATTTTCAATAGAGTGCCTATGCTAGAATTTGTTGCCCCCGGGAATATGCCAGCAGGTAATAGAAAAAAACAACAACTTGTATTTCAGAGTGTGAGGGTAAACAGATCATTATTAAAGTGGACAGTTGGAATAAGTTGGAGGAACAAGCTGAAGATCAGTCCCGACAAGACAGAGGTCCTCCTGGTCGATCGTAAACCTGACCGGGGTATAGGGTGGCAACCTGTGCTGGACGGGGTTACACTCCCCCTGAAACCACAGGTCCGCAGTTTGGGAGTCCTTTTGGATTCATCACTTACGCTTGAGGCTCAGGCGTCGGCGATGTCTGGGAGGGCTTTCGCACAATTGAGACCCGTGCGCCAACTGCGACCGTACCTCGCGAAGGCTGATCTGGCCGGGGTGGTCTATGCCTTGGTCACCTCCAGATTGGACTACTGCAATGCACTCTATGTGGGGCTGCCCTTGAAAACGGCTCGGAAGTTCCAACTGGTCCAACGGGCAGCGGCCAGGATGTTAACTGGGGCCCCTTACAGAGAGAGGTCAACCCTCCTGTTCAAGGAGCTCCACTGGCTGCCATTCATTTTCCGAGCCCAATTTAAGGTGCAGGTGATTACCTACAAAGCCCTGAACGGTTTGGGACCATCCTACCTGCGTGACCGCATCTCCATTTATGAACCCACGCGTTCACTTCGTTCATCCGGAGAGGCCCTGCTCGTGATCCCGCCAGCGTCGCAAGCGCGTTTGGTGGGACACGAGACAGGACCTTTTCTGTGGTGGCCCCCCGACTCTGGAACACCCTCCCCAAAGATCTTAGACAGGCCCCTACATTGGCAGTCTTCAGAAAGAACTTGAAGACCTGGCTGTTCCGATGTGCCTTCCCCGAATAGGAAATCTCCAATACCAAGTCCCAGAAGCACTTTATTAGAACTAAGATTGCTGCACACGCACACTGCACTTGCCCTATAAGCCTTATATACCACCTGTCACATCAGCACTTTTAATCCTGTACCCTTTACTCTGGCCCGGCCCAGTTTTATTGTGTTTTGGTGTATTGTTTATTGCTTGTTGTTTTGTTGTTTTAATATTGCTTTAATTGTTTTAATTTGCTTTAGGTGTATTGTTATGTTGTGTATTGAGGCCTTGGCCTTTGTAAGCCGCATCGAGTCCTTCGGGAGATGCTAGCGGGGTACAAATAAAGTTTAATAATAATAATAATAATAAGAAGAAGAAGAAGAAGAAGAAGAAGAAGAAGAAAAGGCAGTATCAGAATGACTTGATCACTGACAGAAGATCAATGTTTTCTCTTCCAGCTTCTTTTTTCTACCTGGGAGCATGAGTCTACCTTGAGTTTTACAAGATCAATGTATTGTCGAAGGCTTTCATGGCCGGAATCACTGGGTTGTTGTAGGTTTTTCCAGGCTATATGGCCATGTTCTAGAGGCATTTTCTCCTGACGTTTCGCCTGCATCTATGGCAAGCATCCTCAGAGGTAGTGAGGTCTGTTGGAAGTAGGAAAAAGGGTTTATATATCTGTGGAATGACCAGGGTGGGACAAAGGGCTTTTGTCTGCTGGAGCTGGGTGTGAATGTTTCAACTGACCACCTTGATTAGCATTTAATGGCTTGGAAATGCCTGGGGGAAACTCCTGTAGAGAGGTGATTTGATGTGCCTGATTGTTTACTCTCTGTTGTTTCGCTGTTGTAATTTTTGAGTTTTTTAATACTGGTAGCCAGATTTTATTCATTTTCATGGTTTCTTCCTTTCTGTTAAAATTGTCCACATGCTTGTGGATTTCAGTGGCTTCTCTGTGTAGTCTGACATGGTGATTGCGAGAGTGGTCCAGCATTTCTGTGTTCTCAAATACTATGCTGTGCCCAGGTTGGTTCATCAGGTGCTCTGCTATGGCTGACTTCTCTGGTTGAAGTAGTCTGCAGTGCCTTTCATGTTCCTTGATTCGTGTTTGGGCAATGCTGTGTTTGGTGGTCCCTATGTAGACTTGTCCACAGCTGCATGGAATACGGTAGACTCCTGCAGAAGTGAGAGGATCCCTCTTGTCCTTTGCTGAACGTAGCATTTGTTGGATTTTCTTGGTGGGTCTGTAGGTGGTTTGTATGTTGTGTTTCCTCATCAGCTTCCCTATGCTGGATGATAGAGCTGGATAGTGATATCACAGGGGAATGGGAACCATAGTTCAACAACTCATGTGTTTACAATTAGTTTTCAATGTTGTTTTTATGCTTTATGAAATAACAATTATTTTGGTTCACTAGGCACAGAGCAATTAGCTCAGTTACCATCTCCTCGAATAGTGAAGACTCATCTCCCAGTACAACTTCTTCCAAAGTCCTTCTGGGAAAATAAGTGCAAGGTAAACATGTAAACATGCAATAAAAAGACTAGCAAGTATTTATATTACAGACTCATCTTGAGAAGGAGAGAGGGCTGTTGGACTACATCTTTCCACATTCCCAAGTCCCCCAATATTATTTCCTTTCAAACTTCATTATCACCCATGCTGCTATTCACATAATTCTTATCCTTCTGGGGTTGGCAAAAAAGGACCAAAAGACACTACTCAGAATATGGCTTAGTGGCTGTTCGTTGCTTACCCTTACTGTACATTGATAGAAATACATGAGAGCACTAGGTTGTCTGGCTCTGTCCTTCATAATTCATAGCCATGTTCCAGGTTCTTCTTTTACCTAATTTTGTCCTGGAACGATCTATTCATGCTTCAATAGCAGAATGTTTAATTGGCTGTAGGAGTACTTTCTGTCAAGCTGTGGGGAAAAATATAATTGGATTGACTCCCTTAGAAAAATCTACCTGAAATATCAGAGTTCACATCAATCCTTCTTCTCATTGAGGAGGCCTCTGAGATGTGCTATGCTAGATCAGACCATAGAGATATCTAGTTCAGCATTCTGTTCAAGTATTACCCAAAGTAATATGTCTGAAAAACCTCAGAAAGGAACTACAGTACAATAGTACTTTCCATCTCATTACACCCAGCAATTACCAATTTGCTTTAGTTATGTCTCTCCTCTGCTTGTTCTTTTCCTTTCTCTTTTGTGCTTCCCACAATTTTCATTAATTGTTTTCCTTCACTTTCCACTCATGTTATAGGTATTTCTTTCACTGCTTTGCTTCCTCCTAAAATTGTCATGAATGACTTTTCAATAACTTTGAAGCATAGGTTCTTTTTATTGCAATTTCCAGTGTGAGAAGGTATATCAGATTACAGAAAAACATTTAGATGTACAGACATACAAATTCTATGCAACTACATTGGATTTACAATTACATTAGTTAACAAACAAACAAAGGGGAATTACATTTTCACTCAACATTCACACCACATGTACACACATTCATCCACAGGCATTCAAATATTACCATACCCCTTTCTCCCACCTTGGAGAAGCACCTGTTAGGCCAGACCCTGATTTCCTGCAGCCTACCAATGTATAGTTCCATAACTCCATGATTTCAAAATGCTGAAAAGCCAAAACTTCTTTCCCTAAGAACAATGCCAAGGACCAGGTCTCTGTTTCCCATACAGCAGAACCTGACTCCCTGCACAAAATCCAAGACTCCAAAAGCACACTTCTTCCTCTTCCCTTGAGAAAGAAGCCCCAAAGTGACCAGACTGCTCCCGTGCAAATCTGCCACTATCCATAGGTACACTATCTTTCTCCTTCCCATGGAGCAGAGGATAGCGGGTGTACCAGACTCCTCAGGTCGGTCACACTTTGAGCATTATTAGACTGAGTGTTTTATAGGAATATTCTGCTGATGTAGTCCCAAAGTTGTAAATTAATGATAGACATCTTCCATCCTGGCTCCATCTCACTTTCCTGGCCACATGTTGATCTTCTTGATTGGTGTTGACAAACACAAAGCTTGTGTTGACTTCCTTCTTAACGTAAGGAATGTTGCAAATATTTCTGTTATCACTGTCCCAATTCTTATCAGAGTTTTCCTTTCAAATCTCATTGACAGGTTTTAATCACAAAGCAGCAAGCAGGCAGTTAGTCATTGCAGGCCTTAATATTATACTGGTGTTTCCAAAATACATGCATGCATCCATCCTTGCATTCATTCCCACACATCATATTAAATTCATATTTGTCAAATCTGCACATTGAATTTCTTGTGACAAAATGATTATAGTATTAGCTATTTCTTGAGAGCAGGTTTAATGAGGGCTCTGGGCAATCTTCTTCTGCAGCAGGAAGAGAACTTCCATTACTAATCCCCACCTGGCCTTAAAAGGTTCTGTAGGGTGCACTACTTCTACAGGTATTATTGTTTGAAATCTCCATTAATTGGGTTCTCTTTCCACCTAGGTTGGATCTACACTGCCACTTAATCCAGATTATCACTAATGCTTTTATTGCATTGGCAGGACTGTTGACCAAAAGATTTGCAGTTCAAATCCCCGTGTTTCTCCACCCAAAGCATTTCCACTAACCCAACGGCCTAGCCAAAATCAAAGTAAAAGCAGAATTGAACTTTTGCAGAGGAAACCATAATGTGATATTAGTGGGAAAGCTCTTGATTTTTAAGCTATAAAAAAGAATTGCTTTTACAACAGTTTCCCATGGGACAACAATTGCAGAGCAAATACATTGTTCAATCAGCTACGTTTTCATTTGTCTAGATTAATCTGCAGTGGTAAAAAATCCAGTACATCTTGACTCACCCTTCTCCTTCTCCTTCCTTCCTTCCTTCCTTCCTTCCTTCCTTCCTTCCTTCCTTCCTTCTTTCCTTCCCATGAAGATGATCTATGTGGCTCGCAACGCAAAAGATGTAGCTGTCTCTTATTACCACTTTGACTTGATGAACAAGCTGCACCCAGAACCTGGTACCTGGGATGAATATCTGAAGAAATTCATGGCAGGGAGAAGTAAGTTTAGCCAGTCATTTGCTATTGTAAGCAATCTGAATTTTCAGTTCTTTCAGGAAATATAAAATATTGAGACTACGGATTATAGATGTTAAATAATAATAATAATAATAATAATAATAATAATAATCTTCATTTATATTCCGCTCTATCTCCCCAAAGGGACTCAGGGCGGATTCCAAACATAAAAGGCAAACATTCAATGTCGAATACAAACAACAATACATCCATGCTAACAAAATTTATACAACCCACCATTTGCTGCTATCTCATGAAGGTAGATAGCTTCTCAAATCAAATCCTGATTCATAGAATCATGGAATCATAGAATCAAAGAGTTGGAAGAGACCTCATGGGCCATCCAGTCCAACCCCCTGCCAAGAAGCAGGAATATTGCATTCAAATCACCCCTGACAAATGGCCATCCAGCCTCTGCTTAAAAACTTCCAAAGAAGGAGCCTCCACCACACTCCGGGGCAGAGAGTTCCACTGCTGAACGGCTCTCACAGTCAGGAAGTTCTTCCTAATGTTCAGATGGAATCTCCTCTCTTGTAGTTTGAAGCCATTGTTCCGCGTCCTAGTCTCCAAGGAAGCAGAAAACAAGCTTGCTCCCTCCTCCCTGTGGCTTCCTCTCACATATTTATACATGGCTATCATATCCCCTCTCATCCTTCTCTTCTTCAGGCTAAACATGCCCAGTTCCCTAAGCCGCTCCTCATAGGGCTTGTTCTCCAGACCCTTGATCATTTTAGTCGCCCTCCTCTGGACACATTCCAGCTTGTCAATATCTCTCTTGAATTGTGGTGCCCAGAACTGGACACAATATTCCAGGTGTGGTCTAACCAAAGCAGAATAGAGGGGTAGCATTACTTCCCTAGATCTAGACACTATGCTCCTATTGATGCAGGCCAAAATCCCATTGGCTTTTTTTGCCGCCACATCACATTGTTGGCTCATGTTTAACTTGTTGTCCACGAGGACTCCAAGATCTTTTTCACACGTACTGCTCTCGAGCCAGGCGTCACCCATTCTGTATCTTTGCATTTCATTTTTTTTCTGCCAAAGTGGAGTATCTTGCATTTGTCACTGTTGAACTTCATTTTGTTAGATTTTTTTTCTTTTATTCAGTAAATGAAAGGGGCTTTTTCCTTGCAGAAATAGTGTGAAGCCATGTCTTTGGATGATATATGTTTATTAGGTTAAAAAAGGGTGAATATGTACATGCTATTTTTGGAACAGTGAAGGTGGTCTGGAAAACACCCCAAGTTTAAATCTAAATTAACTTTTTCTGTCCAAGGTTCAGCTCTGAAGGAGAAATATTATCCCAATTTCTGTCAAGTTTTCATTCAGATTTCAGTAATGCTATTAAAGGTTGAATTGGTTATCCATATGCTGACAGTACATACAGAGCAGTGCAACTTGTGCATGGAAAGCTAACTTTGCTTCCTTGTTATTATTATTATATTCATATTGCATATTATTATATGTTTCACTTCTGAGTATGTCTTTATTTATCTCTCAACATGTAGCAGGTTTTGGACCCTGGTATAATCACGTGAAAACCTGGTGGAATAAGAGGAATGAGCACCCCATGCTATATCTGTTCTATGAAGACATGAAAGAGGTAAGAGGCAAAAGGGTACATCCTTGCAGGCATATTAGGGGTACAACATTTAAAGAAACAACTTTGCCAAGTGATACATCAGTGGTTGGTTCTTCTATGGCAATGGTTCTCAACCTAGGGGTCGGGACTCGGGGGGGGGGTCATGAGGGGGTGTCAAAGGGGTCGCTAAAGACCATCAGAAAACATAGTATTTTATGTGGGTCATGGAAGTTCTGTGTGGGAAGTTTGGCCCAATTATCTCATTTGTGGGGTTCAGAATGCTCTTTGATTGTAGGTGAACTTTAAATCCCAGCAACTACAACTCCCAAATTTCAAGGTCTATTTTCCCCAAACTCCACCAATGTTCACATTTGGATATATTGAGTATTTGTGCCAAGTTTGGTCCAGATCTATCATTGTTTGAGTCCACAGTGCTGTCTGGATGTAACTGAACTACAACTCCAGAACTCAAGGTCAATGCCCAGCAAACCCAGTATTTTCTGTTCATCATGGGTTTTCTGTGTGCCAAGTTTGGTTCAGTTCCATCATTGGTGGAGTTCAGAATGCTATTTGATTGTAGGTGAACTATAAATCCCAGCAACTACAATTCCCAAATGACAAAATCAACCTCCCAACCCCACCAGCATTTGTAATTTTAATCTATATGTATTTTAACTTGTTGTTACTGTATGATGTTTTTAGATTGTACTATTAGTATTGAATCCTTGCTGTGAGCCGGTCCGACTCCCTCTATGGAGGTTAGAGAAGATCGGGATATAAAAGTTTTAAATAAATAAATAATATTCAGTATTTGTGCCAAATTTGGTCCAGTGAATGAAAATACATCCTGCATATCAGATATTTACATTACAATTCATAACAGTAGCAAAATTACAGCTATGAAATAGCAACAAAAAATAATTTTATGGTTCGGGGTCACCATAATATGAGGAACTGTATTAAGGGGTCGCGGCATTAGGAAGGTTGAGAAACACTGTTATATGGAATATCATATGCAACGTCTTCCTGAATCAGATCAAGCACAAAAACAATAGATGCCCTTCAATTTGTGAACTTTTATATAGAAAACAAAGGAAATATTATTGACTAATGGAATGTCTGAGGACTGTATGAACACTGGCACCATTTCTATCCCATATTTCATAGGATCCAAAGCGTGAGATTAAGAAAGTCATCGGTTTTTTGGGAAAGGACCTGTCAGAATCAGCTGTGGATAAAATTGTATGCAACACCTCCTTTGACAAGATGAAGGAGAACCCTGGTACAAATTATAGGATGGTTCCAACTACACTAATGGATCTGAATATCTCTCCATTTATGCGCAAAGGTAAAGATTAACATGAATTTCTCTGAGAATTACAGTTGGCCTTCCACACTAGAGGTTTTGACTTTTGCAGTTTTGATTATCTGTAGATTTGGTTAATATGATCTCTCTAGGATCTGACTCAGCACATAGAAGATGGCTTTGAAAGGCAGCAGATCACAGGAGCTGTCTTCATAGACCTGTCAGCAGCTTATGATACTGTAAACCACTGCGTCCTCCTGAGAAAAATGTATAATATCACAAAGGACCACCACCTCACCCGCCTCGTAGGAAACCTGCTACAAAACAGGAGCTTTTTTGTTGAGTTCCAAGGCCAAAGAAGTAGATGGCAGAAACAGAAGAACGGCCTAACTCAGAGGAGCGTGCTTGCCCCATCCATGTTCAACATCTACACAAATGACCAGTCACTGCCAGAAGGGACAGAGAGTTTCATCTATGCTGATGATCGTGCCATTATTGCTCAAGCAGGGAGCTTTGGGATGAACAGAAGCTCTCCGGAGCTCTAGGTGCTCTTATTGCCTATTACAGGGAAAACCAGCTGATCCCCAACCGATCTAAAACACAGACATGTGCTTTTCATCTCAAGAACAGACAAGCATCCCGAGCTCTGAGGATCACCTGGGAAGGAATCCCACTGGAGCATTGCAACGCACCTAAATACCTGGGAGTCACTCTGGACCGTGCTCTGACCTACAAGAAGCACTGCCTGAACATCAAGCAAAAAGTGGGTGCTAGAAACAATATCATACGAAAGCTGACTGGCACAACCTGGGGATCACAACCAGACACAGTGAAGACATCTGCCCTTGCGCTATGCTACTCTGCTGCTGAGTACGCATGCCCAGTGTGGAACACATCCCACCACACTAAAACAGTGGATGTGGCTCTTAATGAGACATGCCGCATTATCACGGGGTGTCTGCGCCCTACACCACTGGAGAAATTACACTGCTTAGCCGGTATTGCACCACCTGACATCCACCGGGAAGTAGCAGCCAATAGTGAAAGGACCAAGGCAGAGACATCTCCAGCTCATCCCCTGTTTGGGTATCAGCCAGCACGTCAGTGACTTAAATCTAGAAATAGTTTTCTAAGATCTACAGAGACACTCGCTGGAACACCTCAGCAAGCGAGAGTCCAAAAGCAGCAGGCTCAAACCCAGAACCTCAACCAATGGCTGATACCAAATGATAGACTCCCTACTGGGCACACAGAAAACTGGGCGACTTGGAAGGCGCTGAACAGACTGCGCTCTGGCACCACGAGATGTAGAGCCAACCTCAAGAAATGGGGCCACAAAGTGGAATCCACAACATGCGAGTGTGGAGAAGAGCAAACCACTGACCACCTGCTGCAATGCAACCTGAGCCCTGCCACATGCACAATGGAGGACCTTCTTGCAGCAACACCAGAAGCACTCCAAGTGGCCAGCTACTGGTCAAAGGGCATTTAATCAACTACCAAGCTCGCAAATTTTGTATTTTGTCTGTTTGTTTGTTTGGTTCTGTTAGAAATGTAATACAGTTGACTGGTTGCCCTGACACGACAAATAAATAAATAAATCTTTCTAGGAATTTTAAGATAGTGATGCTCTCCAATTATTATTATTATTATTATTATTATTATTATTATTATTATTATTTCGAATACAGACTGACAAAGTTTTGGAACACAACACGGCAGACATCACGATTGTGGAAAAGAAAAAAGTCTGGATTATTGATGTCGCCATTCCAGGTGACAGTCGCATTGAGGAAAAACAACAGGAAAAACTCAGCCGCTATCAAGACCTCAAAATTGAACTGCAAAGGCTCTGGCATAAACCAGTACAGGTGGTCCCAGTGGTCATCGGCACACTGGGTGCCGTGCCAAAAGATCTCAGCCGGCATTTGGAAACAATAAACATTGACAAAATCACGATCTGTCAACTGCAAAAGGCCACCTTACTTGGATCTGCACGCATCATTTGAAAATACATCACACAGTCCTAGACACTTGGGAAGTGTTCGACTTGTGATTTTGTGATACGAAATCCAGCATATAGATCTCATTTGCTGTGACATACTGTGCTTTTGTGTCAATAATAATCTTTATTTATACCCCGCCACCATCTCCCCAACGGGATCTATATTCTGGATTTCCTATCACAAAATCATATGAGTCTATGATCAATTTCCAGCAGAAAATAATAATAATAATAATAATAATAATAATAATAATAATAATAATTATTATTATTATTATTATTTTCTGCTGGAAATTGACCATAGATTCATACTGGAGGACCTAGAGATTCATACAGGGACAATAATAATATAATATAATAATATAATATAATATAATATAATATAATATAATATAATATTATATTATATAATATAATATAATATAATATAATATAATATAATATAATATAATATAATATAAATAATATAACAACAACAACAATATATTTTCTGCTGGAAATTGACCATAGTCTCATACTGGAGGACCTAGAGATTCATAGAGGGAACACTTCTCTAGAATAGATCTTCTGACAAAATGTTGGCCATAGAGTCATGCTAGAAGACCTAGAGATTTCTAGAGAGGTGTTTCTTAGGTTAAAAATATAGTTCTTTTTAATTCATGGTTTTTCAACTTGTATGGGGTTCCTGTGCCCCTAAACTCAGCAAATTTGCAGGGCTGACTGTCTTCCCCAGACTTTAGTTAGACTCTTTAATGGTTTCTTTCTTTTTATATATATATATATTTGTTTATTCATCTGAATACAAGTTCAGCGTGTCATATCCAAAAATCCAAAATACTCCCCAAATCCAAAATTATCCACATTGGCAGCTGAAAATACTGACATCTTTTCTTTCTGATGGCTCGGTCTATGCAAAATTATTTTTAAAATTGTGCTCAAAATTTATCGCATGCTATTTGCATTTATAAAGTGTGTATGAAATAAATGTGGATATTTACAAATACAGATATTTCATAATCCAAAATTTAAAACAACTATGTCCAAACATTTTGGATAAGTGGTGCTCAACCTGTAATACTAAAATTATTATTATTTAAAACACTTATATTCCTCCCTTCTCACCCCAAAGGGACTCAGAGCAGAGCACAACATATACATGGCAAACATTCAATGCCTGGATACAATACATAAACATTAAAAAACATTTATCTAAATATTAAAATACACCATTTAAAATAACACAATTTAAAACCGTCCTAGCCATCCGCATCAAATCCAATTGGCCCTGTCATCTTTCCCACTGCCGCTTCATTGCCCTGTCCCGAAAGCTTGGTCCCACAGCCAAGTTTTTACCATCCTTCTAAAGGACAGGAGGGAGGGGGCCGACCTGATCTCACCAGGAAGGGAGTTCCATAGCCGGGGAGCAATCACCGAGAAGGCCCTGTCTTTCATCCCCACAAATCGCGCCTGTGACAATGGTGGAACAGAAAGCAGGGCCTCCCTGGAGGATCTTAATCTCCGCAATGGTACATAGAGGGAGATGCGTTTGGACAGGTAATTTGGGCCGGGGCCGTTTAGGGCTTTATAGGCCAAAGCCAGCACTTTGAATTGTGCCCGGTAGCAAACTGGCAGCCAGTGGAGCTGGCGTAACATGGGAGTTGTATGCTCCCTGTATGCCGCCCCAGTTATTAACCTGGCTGCCTCTCGTTGGACTATTTGAAGTTTCCGAGCAGTCTTCAAAGACAACCCCACATAGAGTGCATTGCAGTAGTCTATTCTAGATGTAATGAGAGCGTGGACCACCGCGGCCAAGTCTGACTTCTCAAGGTACGGGCACAGCTGGCACACAAGTTTTAATTGTGCGAATGCTCCCCTGGCCACCGCTGCAACCTGGGATTCCAGGCTCAGTGATGAATCCAGGAGAACTCCCAAGCTGCGAACCTGTGCCTTCAAGGGGAGTGTGACCCCGTCCAGAACAGGTTGCGACCCTATACCCTGTTCAGCCTTGCGACTGACCAGGAGGGCCTCTGTCTTGTCTAGATTCAACTTCAATTTGCTCGCCCTAATCCAGACCGTCACAGCGGCCAGGCACCGGTTCAGGACTTGGACAGCCTCCTTAGCATCTGGTGGAAATGAGTGATAGAGTTGGACATAATCTGCGTACAGATGGCATCGAACTCCAAAACTCCGGATGATCTCACCCAGTGGCTTCATGTAGATGTTAAACAACATGGGGGACAATACTGAGCCCTGCGGGACCCCACAGGACAATGGCTGTGGAGCCGAGCAGGAGTCCCCCAGCAACACCTTCTGGGTACGACCCTCCAGGAAGGACTGGAGCCACTGCAGAACAATCCCTCCAAGACCCATCCCTGCAAGGCATCCCAGTAGGATACCGTGGTCTAAAACCTCCAGAAGTATATGTTGGGCGAGCGGGCTTATTAACAAAGGACCTTGCCCATAAGCGTACAGCAGAGTAACATATTAGCAGCAGCATGACCCAGGACCAGTAGCCCAAAGTGATAAAAAGAACACAAACATACAGACCAATGTTATATCTTCCATAGGAGGCTTTCTTTATAGTAAAATAATATGGTTGCATTATTTACAACAACAAGGTTTCCATAACACAAATAAACAAATACACTGTAGCTTTACACACAGCAGCCTTCACACTGGAGTTTTCTTACACAAGGCCTTTCTCACACAGAGGTTTACCTTTGGCCCACTGACATGAACAGGCTTCAGTCTACTAACTCTTTCAATGTTTGACTCATACTTTCTAAATCCAAAATACCCAGTTAATGTTTAATATTTCTATTATAATTAATTTCTATTAATATTTAATATTAATATAGATGTGCTTTTTAGAGCATGATTCTTTTTTTCTTTCCTCTATTGATCACGCCAAAAAAATCCTTTAGCCTGATTAAAATTAGATTTTAGATTTTTTTTTACTAGCATCTAATTGATATTCCTCTGTCTTCTAGGCATTGCTGGCGATTGGAAGAATTATTTTACTGTTGCTCAGAATGAGACATTTGATGAAGATTATAAGAAGCAAATGGCAGATACAACACTCCAATTCCGAACGGAAGTCTGAAGTTCCTTGTAGCTACAACACAATTGCCCTTGTTCTCTTGTTTGATACAAAGCCTAACATTTAGTAAATACCTTGAGCTTCCCAGCGTCTCTGCTTTTAATTAGAGGAAAAAGCAAATTCATCCTCTTCCCAGCTAGGGAATTCTGAAGACATGCAGACCTGCGGTGATAAGGCTCGATGGTGAAAGGAAGTTGTGATTTATTATATATTGAAGGTACGTAGTTCTACTTTTGGTTGTGTAGGTGGTGCAGTGGGTTAAACTCATGTGCCAGCAGGACTGAAGACCGACAGGTCGCAGGTTCAAATCCGGGGAGAGTGCGGATGAGCTCCCTCTGTCAGCTCCAGCTCTCCATGTGGGGACATGAGAGAAGCCTCCTACAAGGGTAGTAAAACATCAAAACATCTGGGTGTCCCCTGGGCAACATCCTTACAGATGGCTAATTCTCTCACACCAGAAACAACTTCCAGTTTCTCAAGTTTATTGATTTATTTATTATTCGAACTTATATGCCGCCACTCCCCTTGGGGCTCGGAGCGGCTTACGAGAACGGCTAAAATCTAACACAATTTAAAAACAATTTAAAACAATTTAAAAACAGCAATATCAGAGATCAAAGGCCCGTCGAAACAGATATGTCTTACATGCCCTGCAGAAAGCTGATAAGTCCTGCAAGGCATGGACTTCAGGTGGCAGAGTATTCCAGAGTGATGGTTCTGCGTCTGGTTGCTGTTAGACGCAAGGTCTTGACACTGGGAATTTCCAATAGATCTTGGTCCTCAGAACGGAGGGATCTCTGGGGTTGGTAGGGGGTGAGGCGGTCCCTCAGGTACATCGGCCCCAGACCATGCAAGGCCTTAAAGGTGAGTACCATCACTTTGAAAGTGATCCGGTGCTCAATTGGTAACCAATGCAGCTGTAGTAAGATTGGTGTTATGTGGCATCTCATTGGACTTCCCGCAAGAAGCCGAGCAGCTGCATTTTGTACCAACTTGAGCTTCCGGATCACCGACAGAGGAAGGCCAATGTAGAGGGCGTTACAGTAGTCCAGTCTTGAGATGACCGTAGCCTGGATCACCGTAGCTAGGTCGTCCCTGGACAGGGAGGGGGCCAGCCGTCTAGCCTGCCGCAGATGAAAAGGCGGTTCTGCTAACGGCGGAGACCTGGGCCTCCATCGTCAGCAGAGGGTCCAAAAGGACTCCCAGACTCTTTACCAATGATGATGGGCGTAGCGCCTCGCCATCCAGGGTAGGCAGCTGGATATCCCCACTGCCCGGTTGACCCAGCCATAGGATCTCCATCTTTGATGGATTCACCCTCAACCTGCTGGCACGCAGCCATCCAGTCACGGCCTCGGGGCACTGATGGAAATAATTGGGTACAGAGTCCGGTCAGACTTCCATCTTCAGCACCAGCTGAGTGTCATCAGAGTACTGGTAACACTCAAGCCCAAAACCTCAAACCAGCTGAGCAAGTGGTTGCATATAGATGTTAAACAACGGAGGGGAGAGAATGGTCCCCTGAGGAACCCCACAAGATAGAGGGGACCTCTCAGAGATCAGGCCTCCCCTCTCCACTCGCTGTCCATGGTTGTGAAGAAAGTTGCTCCTGACACTGAAAAAAAAATGTAGGTGTTGTAGGGGCCGCTGCCCCCTTGTTTTCATCCCCATTTTCTCAGTCCCTCCCTTCATACCTTTCCACCTTTCCTTTCTCTCACTTCCTTCCCTCCTTTTTCTTTCTTCCCCCATCCTTTCTTTTCCTTCTTTTCCTCTTTCTTTCCATTTCTTCCCCTCTCCTTCCTCCCTTCTCCAAGGATAGAGCCTCATAGTAGCATCCTGTCATCATTTTTCTCTTTGTGGTTCCTTCCTTCCTTCTTTCCTTCCTCTCATACAGATGTTACCTTTCTTTTCCAGTGACATCACAGAGGGTCACTTTGTTTAGCAATAACCAATCATTCACCAAGCAACAGGCAATCCAGTCACATCACAAAGGACTACTGGATTGTCACCTAGTAGCAGTCTTTGTGATACAGACAGACAGACAGACATACTTTGACTTTTATATAGACTAGTGTCTCTATGAGGACAACCAGGTGTCGGAGTGACCACTGCCCCCTGCTTTCATCCCTTCTTTGTCTTCCCCATCCGCATACCTGTCTCCCTCTCCCTCCTTCTCTCCTTCTTTCCTTCTTTCCTTCTTTCCTTCCTCCCTTTCCCTCTCTCTGTGTTGAACTCTGTTCAACAGCTGTGGAGAACTCTTTCAAAGCTTGGCTCAAAACTTGGAATGGATTCAATACTGCATGAATACAGGGGTTACCTGCATTATACTTATGGAATCCATGCTGTGAGAAAAATACCACATCGTGTTCCACAGGGCATTAATTTACATTAAACAACAAGTATCATGTGGAAGGATTTTAATGGCTATTGAGTATAGTGGTGGAATCCAAGCATAAACCCTGAACCTAATTCTGGTTCTTAAGATACTTTGTCAAAAGGATCCTTCCCTGGGTCATTGAGGTTGGTCATCATGGCTTCAGAGGGATGCAGCTGTATCTCTTGGGCTCTCTTATGTGAGATCCCAAACCAACTCAAAGCATAGGTGGGCCACTAGACAACTAATCATTTTAACCTGTTATCAGTACAGAGCTGGGTCGTAATTTTGTAGCATAGCATAATAATTTTATTTATTTATTTATTTATTTATTTATTTATTTATTTATTATTTGAACTTATATGCCGCCACTCCCCGGGGCTCGGAGCGGCTTACAAGAACAGGCTAAAATCGAACACAATTTTAAAACAATTTTAAACAATTTTAAAACAGCAATATCAGAGATCAAAGGCCCGTCGAAACAGATATGTCTTACATGCCCTGCGGAAAGCTGATAAGTCCCGCAAGGCATGGACTTCAGGTGGCAGAGTATTCCAGAGTGATGGCTCTGCGTCTGGTTGCTGTTAGACGCAAGGTCTTGACACTGGGGACTTCCAATAGATCTTGGTCCTCAGAACGGAGGGATCTCTGGGGTTGGTAGGGGGTGAGGCGGTCCCTCAGGTACATCGGCCCCAGACCATGCAAGGCCTTAAAGGTGAGTACCATCACTTTGAAAGTGATCCGGTGCTCAATTGGTAACCAGTGCAGCTGCAATAAGATTGGTGTTATGTGGCATCTCATCGGAATTCCCGCAAGAAGCCGAGCAGCTGCATTTTGTACCAACTTGAGCTTCCGGATCACCGACAGAGGAAGGCCAATGTAGAGGGTGTTACAGTAGTCCAGTCTTGAGATGACCGTAGCCTGGATCACCGTAGCTAGGTCGTCCCTGGACAGGTAGGGGGCCAGCCGTCTAGCCTGCCGCAGATGAAAAAAGTGGAACCAGCCATAGGATCTCCATCTTTGCTGGATTCACCCTCAACCTGCTGGCACACAGCCATCCAGTAATGGCCTCGAGGCACTGATGGAAATAAGGGTGCTGTTATCATAAAAACAAAAGGGCTGCAGGAATTGTGAGAGTGGCATTTTTATTTTTATGTAAGTATGGATAGAAGTATGGATAGAATAGGAGCCCCCGGTGGCGCAGTGGGTTAAAGCACTGAGCTGCTGAGCTTGTTGATCAAAAGGTCGCAGGTTCGATTCCGGGGAGCGGCGTGAGCTACCGCTGTCAGCCCTAGCTTCTGCCAACCTAGCAGTTCGAAAACATGCAAATGTGAGTAGATCAATAGGTACCGCTCCGGCGGGAAGGTAACGGCGCTCCATGCAGTCATGCCGGCCACATGACCTTGGAGGTGTCTACGGACAGCGCTGGCTCTTCGGCTTAGAAATGGAGATGAGCACCACACCCCAGAGTCAGACATGACTGGACTTAATGTCAGGGGACTACCTTTACCTTTACCTATGGATAGAATACATGGTCTGTTGCATTCTGAACTCTACCAACAATGGAATTGAACCAACTTGGTACACAAAACTCCCATTACCAACAAAAACTACTGGAAGGGTTTGGTGGGGATTGACCTTGAGTTTTGAAGTTGTAGTTCACCTACATCCAGAGAGCATGGTGGACTCAAACAATGATGGATCTGGACCAAACTTGACATGAATACTCAATACCCAAATGTGGAGTTTGGGGAAAATAGACCTTGACATTTGGGAGTTGTAGTTGCTGGGATTTATAGTTCACCTACAATAGAAGAGCATTCTGAACTCTATTAACAATGGAATTGAGCCAAACTTGGTACACAGAACTTTCATGACCCACAGAAAATACTGGAAGGGTTTGGTGAGCATTGACCTTGAGTTTTGGAGTTGTAGTTCACCTTCATCCAGAGAGCATGGTGAACTCAAACAATGATGGATCTGGACCAGACTTGGCACGAATATTCCATATGCCCAAATATGAATACAGATGGAGTCTAGGGGCAATAGACCTTGATATTTGGGAGTCGTCATTGTTGGGATTTATAGTTCACCTACAACCAAAGAGCATTCTGAACTCCACCAATGATAGAACTGGGCCAAACTTCGCAAACAGGACCTCCATGACATATTTTAAATTTTAATTATTACATTTGGTCCAGCCATAAGTTTTTAAATGTCGCCATGCTATTGTTAATGTTTCTTGCTTATTTTCTGTTATGAGTTTTATTTACTGCTTGTATTGTTGTTTTTGCTTTTGTTATTGCTGTGTTGTGGGCTCGGCCTCATGTAAGCCGCACCGAGTCCCTTGGGGAGATGGTAGTGGGGTACAAATAAAGTTTTATTATTTATTATTATAATAGAAAATAATGTGTTTTTTTTGTGACCCCTCTGACACCCCCCCTTGCGACCCTCCCAGGTTGAAAAACACTGATTTAGATGAAGGAAAAGGAGAGGCACTGAAGTAGCCCTATCCTACCCATAGTTAATTCAACTCACCACAATTGAAGAGAGATATTGAGAAGCTGGAATGTGTCCAGAGAAGGGTGACTAAAATGATGAAGGGTCTGGAGAACAAGCCCTATGAGGAGCGGCTTAAAGAGCTGGGCATGTTTAGCCTGAAGAAGGGAAGGCTGAGAGGAGATATGATAGCCATGTATAAATATGTGAG